GATATCACATTGATTTTTCAAAATGCGGTATCGATCTATTTTACTTTCAAAATCTCGTGAAATTTCATCGTTCTGTTACAAACTCTCGTGATAGTTTGCAAATTCTTGTGAGATTTTGTTAGTAAAATAGATCGATACCGCGTCAATATATCAACCTATAAAAATATGGCAAAATTTCATGAATTATTGGGGGATTTCGTAGCATAACGATGACATATAGCAATATTTCATCAGTAAAAGAGATTGATATGGTGTTTTTAAAGGCAATATATCAGCATATGAAGATATTGAAGTTTTTAAGTCTGTAAAAAAGAAGTTTTTGAGGAAGAAGTAGTATTTTTATTTTTTTTTTTAGACTTTAGAAACTCAGGAGCTGATCAAATATCGGGTTAAATATCGGTGGGGTGGCCGATGTCCGATATTCAGTTTTAAGGCCGATACAGGCCGGTACCGATAGGGGGCCGATTATATTGTGCATCCCTAGTTCCTATTGTTGCAATGCTTTTAAGAGGAATCAAAAGTCCAATGGCTGGCTAACCAGAGCTCTGTCCAAATGAAATAATCTGAACTTTTTAATGGAATTTAATTCTTTGAACATCTAACTTTGTGTGAATGTTACTATAAATGATCACATCGTCATTTTCGACAGATAAGATAAATATCTAACCTATGAGCTATAATATTACTTATAATATCTCCCAGTTACACTTTAACATGGAGCTTTATCATTTAAAGCACATTTACACATATCCAGTGTCTGACGCTGCAGGTACTTATGTCATAGAAGACTATCTTAAAACTTGATTGTGACTGCAGGCGGTTCTGGGCTGAGTGTCTGAGCTGGAGGAAAGAATATTGCAGCAGGAAAACATCCTGACAGATTTTATAACCTCACGGTCCTTTACTACCTCGGCTTTACTCAACTAGACGTGGACGTAGTGATGTTTCACTTTTGTGGACAGAGGAATGATCGGATATCAAACTCCATCATTCAGTAAGCGGGTTTTACCACATGAAATGGATCCCAAATGAACTAAAATAAACAACGGGTGAAGTTACCCTTTAAATTATTGATAAGTTCGGCAGCTCTACGTTAAAGAACTTTCCATTCTGTTCAGAACACAGGAAAAGAGGAGGGTATCTTTTAAGGGAAAAGT